TCGAACTGCTGACCTTGCGGTTCGCAGCCCAATTCGTAACCACCATGCTACCAGAGCTCCTTACTAGCTACTGTACTGTTATCTAAATGTCTTTGAGCCATTCTACCAACAGTTTTGGAGGGTTTGGGAGAGGCCAGAGGACTGGCTATGGCTATACAATGAGTGAGCTTCTCCTTCACCCTTTCAAAGCATGGGCCCAAGTGCCCATGACTGGCATTGAATGTGAAGAAACACAAAAAAGCAAATCAAATATATTTAAAACTGAGTTAACATTGTGAGCATATCCCAAAGTTTCAAAAGCCTGACAAGATAATAATAGCAGCAACCCAGCAATTCCTCTACTTGGTATTTACCCACAAGAAATATGAGCCATAACACCAGTGTTCATAGCAGCACTATTTACAATAGCAAAAAAATGGAGACAACCAAAATGTCCATCAACTGAAGAATGGATAAACAAACTGTGGTACATACACACAATGGAATATTATGCTACCTTGAAGAATAACAAGGAAGTTGCAAGCCACCGCATAACATGGATGAACCTTGAGGACATTATGTTGAGTGAAATTAGTCAGTCACAAAAGGAGAAACACTGCATAAGACCATTACTGTAAAAGACTAAGAAAAAGAACCCACCCAAAAGGGGGCTGGGGTGGCTAGCAATACACAAGAAGGGGGAGAGGAAAAAGAACAAGGCGGACGGGAGAACGGTTGGGCAGATTCCCATGGGCTAGGTGGGACAGAGCTAAATGATGAGGTATGCACAACCCTGGAATAACAGGGCTTCAGGAAACAGGGATTGAGGCATGGCTTGAAAGGGGGAAAAGAGGGGAATAATGTTAGGATGCTTGGCCATCTTTTGAATCTTGGTCTCCCTTGCCTACCATTGTGAAATAGACACGTGAGGGAGGGGGGAACAGCCTGAAACATCACAACAGAAAACATGTGGGCCTGTATCCAGCCTATAACTAACTGGAATACCTTGGGGGGGTGGGTGGGGAGGGCTGGAAACTGCCCAGACCCAAAATGGTGGGGGGACTATGATGGCATGGACAGATGGAGTGGCTGGGGACACGGGACTCAGGGAGGGAGAGGCGCTGTTTGCTGACAGCCGGGGGGTGGGTGGACCTGTGGGGTGTATCCTCTGGTTATTTGATGATGCACGGAGGGGATTTTAATCACTGCAATGAAATGAAATACAATAGGATGAATGTGAAGCTCAAGTGGGACAGAGACAAATAATGATGTATACAAAACCTTGGAAAAACAAGGCTCTGGGATATAGAGATTGAGACATGGTTTGAATGGGGAAAAGGGGGGGAATAATGTTAAGATGCTTGGCTGTCTGTTGATTCTTGGTTCCCCTGGCATACCGCTGTAAAATAGACACTGGAGGGAGAGAGAAAGGAATAGCCAAAATACCACCCTAGAAAGCTTGTAAGTCCGTCTTCTGCCTATAACTGATTGGAATACCTAAAATGGGGCTACAACGTGCCCAGTGAAGGAGGCTTCCTGTGGAGCCTCTGCATTACACAAGACCATAGGTGGAATCATGAACAGCATCCAGAATCTTCTGAGGGGAAATGTCTACTTGAAAGGACAAGCAGACCAGCCTGGAGTGGCCAGAAGAACAGAAGATACTTCCTGAAAGAAAGACTGACAGGAAAAATACAAAACAATATAGGTAGGCCGACTGATTACTACAAGAACAAACAAGTGGCTCACCCAGGAGACATCAAGGCAAGTAGTCAGGTCCCCCTCATGGCAAACCCCCTTCTAAGACTAAGGCTCAATGGGAATGCATGCGCTGATTGGTGACCACGTTCATCACCAACAAGGGGAAGTGAGGGAAAAACAGCAATGAAGCTGCAAGCTAAGCCCTACAATGCTCAATAGACTCCTGTGAACCCGGACGGCGACCTGGTTGGCCAGCAGTGTGCCAAGTCAGGGGACTCTCGGACCCAGAGTCAGTGACATAGCCACAGAGGACTAGAGTGGAGAGTGAAGTGTCCAGCTGATAAGAAGAGAGGGCACACGCATAAGTACACCCACAATTGCAGATAATACCCACTTGACTTGGCTTCAATGGCTGGATGATCAGAGCTCAAACAGAAGAAGAAATAAGAAGGAAAAAAGAATAATCTGATACAATTTGATGAACTTGACATACACCTATAGAAGCAGTAGCTCAGAAGAGTGAACAAATCTTCACAGTGAGGATCATTCCCACCCCCTTCACACACAGAGTGGGCAGGGATGGGCAACTTGGACATTGGTTATCCAAAATGGGAGGGGGGGGGCCTACAAAGGCAAGAAGTGACTGGCTTACAAGCTTTCAAGAGGGAACCGAGATCCAGAGGGTGTGGAGCAAGGTAGACTCTCCACTGAGTAGTATCCATTCTGCCTAGTTAGGGCTGATAAAAGAAGATGCAGATAGGCCTCTTGCTATACAATAGCGAATAATTGTTATCAGGACTGATTGTAAGGGCTGGAAATGTAAAGGTGGACCATCAAAGGAGAAGAGCGGAGAACAGAACCCTACCCAGAGAAGCACTGATGCCAGGGATGGAGGCAGAGACAATGACATGGGGAGATGGAGTAGCTGGAGACTTTGGATCTGGAGAGAGAGAGGGGCGGTATGCAGACGACGGGGGTGAGGGTGGGGGTGGGGTGGGGTGGTGGTGGTGGTGGTGGTGGTGGTGGTGGTGTGTGTGTGTGTGTGTGCAGCTTACGGGTTGATGGTGATGCATGAAAGGGAATGTAACCATGACAAGGAAATGATATAAAGCGGGATCAATGTGAAGCTGATTTCCTCCCATGTAAATTATCATATAATTCACAATAAGGCATTAAAAAAAAGATAATAATAGCAGCAGAAATGCAAAAGAACAATAATACTCAGCACTGGGCAAGTTACTTAATTAGTTCCCTCCTTTATAAAATAGGGATGAAAGCATTAAGTCCACATAATTTTGTTGTTCAATGCTGTCCAGTCGGTTCCAAGTCATAGTGACCCTGTATAGGGTTTCCATGGAGTGACTGGTGAGTTTGAACCACTGGTGGGTTCAAACCTACCTTGAAGTCCAGTGCTTATCCCAATTTAACAGAATAATTAAAGTTAACTTTTCAGTTTACTGTATATAGTATTATGCAGAAGGCAAAAGGATTAACACAAGGAGAAAACAAAGTTTTCACATTTTTTTCTGGAAGCAAAGGGTGTTTCGTTTAGTTGAAAGGAATTTAATAATCATAGTTCACTAAGAGGATCAAAAAAGAGAGAGAGAGAGAGAGAGAGAGAGAGAGAGAGAGAGAGAGAGAGAGAGAGAGAAGAACCCTCTAAATGAAAACCATTCTTATTCACTAGGCTGAATTACCATTTGCAAAGTCTGATCCTGTTCTGTGTTCTTTATTTATTATGGCCCAAGAGCTATAGTGGAGCCCCTGGTGTGATACTGTGGGTTACTGTGCCAGACTGCAAAGGCATTTGAACTGCAAGGTTGGCGGTTCAAGCTCATCAGCTGCTCCTCGGAAACCCTATACAGGGTCACTATGGGTCGGAATCAACTCCATGGCACTTAACAACAACAACAAGAGCTATAGTGGTGTGGCCAAAGCTACAGACAGCAGCTTGGCTAAGCTCTTTTGATGAAGGTATTGTGATTGCCTAGTTACAGACGGGAGCCCTGTTTGCACAGTCATTTACATGGCAATCAACAGCACAAAACCACCCCGGGCAGGCAGAGGTAACCTTTTCATTGTAGAGAAATACTTCTATCAGCAGAATCGAAATAAGATAAAGAGCATTGCACTTTGGAATCAGTTGAAGGGAAAAAGGGGAAGCAAAAGCATCTAGGGAAAAGTACTCAAAATCACTTCTAAGTAATTTAATCGATCAGTAAGCCTAAACTTTCCCTTTAACAGATGATTTAGTGCTGTGCCAACTTGATCAAGAGGACAGCTCTGAACACCTATCAGAAGCAAACATTTGACATTTAGGTGGAAGTGGCAATGAAAAAATCAAGTAACCTAGTAACTAAAATGGGCTGACAGTGCAGGCTGAGGGTGAAACTGACAGAAGGGGGCTAGGCTTCCCTGGCCAGGCAAAGAGGAAATGTTTATTGTCTATGTACTGTGGGATCCCAGTCTTCACTTCACTACATTTCCTGAACATTCAGGTATAAAATTGTTTCCAAAATTCCCCCCACGCAGTTCTAACAGAACTGGACAAGTCCGGGGTAGATGGTTTCCAAAAAATATGCTTTTTGCACTATCTGTATCACTAGCCGCACACATTAAGGCCAAAGATTCCAGAATTAAGGATCCTTCAAGAATTTCTGAGTGGTTCAAGCTGAGATGAGGATCAAAGACAGAGCGAATGCATCACTTTTAGCTAATCAATTAGATTTAACGTAGGTATGGCTCCAAGCTAACGTAAAGAAAATCCTAGGTAATAATTTTGGCGCCCTCAGTACCTGTCAGTTTCACTACAGCAGCAAGTAGCGAGACCGTTTCCAATTGAGAAACTACTCCTTAGATCCTAAGAGAAAGACCAGGAGGATCAGTACGCTGTAGGATCACCAATGCAAGCTGGTCCAAAAGCTGAAGCGAATCCAGTTCAGCTTGGATGGCTCAACAGCGAAGCGACAAAGCCACGTGTCCCCACGGCCGCGGCTAAGCGACTGTCCCCTCCCCTCTCAATAAGCAGCCACTTTCCCCACGCTGGTCCTCCAGTCCCTGCCTTCACACCAAAGCCGCTTCACCTCGTGCTCCATCTTGACTCCACCCGAACACACGGTGAGAATAAACGTGACCCTCCCATGAGAGGAAAAATAACGGAAACATCTTGCGGGGAAAGCACACCATCAAGCTCCCTCTCGGGTCCCCCGGCCTCTCAGAACTCACGCGGCGGGCCCCATCCCCCCGCCTTCCGCCATTCACGAGGTGTCCCCGCGGCCCGGGCAGGTGAGGCCCAATCGGGGTTCCAACTTCGCCCTTACCAGGTCTCCTGGTTGCTAAATTTCTTAGTCACCACCTTGCCTAGCTCCAGGCCCAGGCGATCAGCAATTTTCTGAGATAAATCCTGGTGGGAGCTGCCGCTGAAGATTTTGATATTCGGCATTTTGGCCAGCTACCCTGGGTGCTTTGCGCTCAGTGACTGTTGCTGCTGCCCCGAGGTTGGAAGCGAAGTCCTACTGGAGACAAGTACTAAGCACTTCGCGTTGCTATTCCGCCATCTTACATTCCCGCCGGGCGCGCGACTCTAAATTGCCAAGCACCGGAAGGTGGGGACAACGCGAAAGTGCACACCCCGCCGTCTCTGATTAGCTGATCAGCTAGCGAGGGGTGGTGTCCTCGCTGTAACTCCGCCTCCCTTCGGTTTTTCTAAGGTATTGGATAGAAAGCATGAAAGGGACGACGTTAAGATCTAGTCCCGCCCCCGATAGCGAGGCCCTAGGCAAAAGGTGGCTAAGCAGCCTTGATACGTCACAGAGGGAGTGAAGAGATGCTGGTGGCGGGAGGACGGATCTTTCCGCAAGCGGGAAATCAGCCACATTAAAAAAAAAAAATTTAGTTTTGTTTTTACTTTTCCCAGCTTGGTTCCAGCTGACAGTTCTTTTCAGAAAATCTATGTATCAGGATGGCAGCCACCATTCGTCAGAATGAAGGGGAACTTTCTGAACACGAGTTTTCATATTTCTGAACAATTTTTATCTTTTTATAAGGATGGGGGTCGAATAAAAGCAATTTGACGTCATAAAGAGGCACCCATCCATAGCCCAGGCACTGCAAAAGGGCCCGTTTGCCTTTTGCAACGGCCCAGCGTCGCCTTTGCCTGGAAGAGAAGTCCCAAGAAGAAAGTGGCTAAGGGCCTGCCTCCCAAATCATCCACAGACATTGAAAGAGAAAACTGTATTTTGTTTCTAACGCTGTGTCCTAGTATGTTCAGACAGTGAAGGAGTGTAGATTCTCTTATCTGGGCTATAAAGGTCTGATTTATTTAACCTTGGAAAAGAAAGATAGTATAGTATATGATAAGATTTAGGATTAAGAGCCCTCAAAGAGTCAGAAGACCTGACTTGAGTACCTCTACAAAAATGTGAGTCTTGGTGTGGCGCTGTGGGTTAATGTGTTGGACTGCAAAGTCGGTTTGAACCAGCCAGCCGCTCCTTGGAAACCCTGTACAGGCCCGCTATGGGTCGGAACTGACTCGACGACAATTAACAACAACGACACAATCTCATTTAAGGAGCTCTGGTAGCATAGTGGTTACGAGTCGGGCTGTTAAGTTCGAAACTACCAGTTGTACCGCAGGAAGAGGCTTTCTGCTCCTTAGACATGCTAAAAAGATGAGGCTTTCTGCTCCTGTAAAAGACTTGGTATAAAGATCCGTCGAGTCGGTTCCAACCCATAGCAACCCTGTATAGGGTTCCCAAGGAGCAGCTGGTGAGCTTGAACCGCCAACCTTGCAGTTCAAATGGCTTTGCAGTCTGGCACATTAGCTCACAGCGCCAAACAAGGACTCCTTGTAAAGACTTACAGTCTTGGAAACCCTATGCTGGGTTGCTATGAGTCGCAAGGCACATAACCACCAACCACCACTATAACCTTATTTGGAATAAAGCACTGACTGGACTGCGAGGTCAGTTCCAACTGCAAGGTCGATGGTTCAAACTCAACAGCCACTCCTTGGAAACCCTATCCAGGGTCCTTATGAGTCGGGATCAACTCCAAGACACTTAAAACACAACCTCATTTGAGTCTCAGTGTTATCATCTATGCACTTCGTGTTGCTATTCTGCCATCTTACATTCCCTCACAGTGCGGCTCTAAATTGCCAAGTGCCAGGAGGTGGGAACAACGCGGAAGTGCACACCTCGCGCATGTCGTTAATGTGGCCTTTTACACCAACTTGTATTATTTTTACAATGATACTTGCCTGCTGGAACAAAACCAAACCCATTGGTGTGGACTCAAATCTAACTGATAGCAACTCTATGGATAGAGTAGAACTGCCCCATAGCGTTTCCAAAGCTGTAGATATTCATCGCAGCAGACTGTGGCATCTTTCTCTCACTCCCAAAGCAGTGATTTCAGTTAACAGCCAAGCACGGTTCCATTAAGCATATTGCAACCATGGGTTAAAATGAAAGAAAAATGGAACGGTTTTAGAATCAAAAGTGACCCTAGTGTTTATAATCACCAGCTGTAAAAACAAAAGTAGGGACTTCAGAGACATCTTGTCTACTAGTTTCACTTTACATATGGGGAAACGGAGACCCAGAGAGGCAGAGATTTGTCCAAGAGGCAAAGGCAGGAACTACACCCTACCTTTCTCTTTTTGCCATTTTCAGCAATGCCCATGGAGAACTTCTCTTCCTGACCTTTTATCAGATTTTATTTGTTGTTGTTGTTGTTAAGTACCGTGGAGTCGGTTCCAATTCATAGTGACCCTGTACAGGGTTTCCGAGGCTGTAAATCTTTACTGGAGCAGAACGCCTTATCTTTCTCCCGCGAAACAGCTGGTGGTTTCTAAGTGCTGACCTTGAGGTTGGCAGCCCAACTCGTAAGCTACCAGAGCTCCTTATCAATGTGTCAGAACCGGCTCCACGGCACTTAACAACAACATATGTATAAGTGGACTCTTGGCATGGTGCTGTGGATCAACAGTGGACTGCGAACCACAGAGTCAGCAATTCAAATCCACCAGCTGCTCCTCAGAAATCCTAGACAGGGTCACTATGAGTCAGAATCAACTAAACTACACTTAACAACATATGTATAAGAATGCTTGGAGAAGGAAGTAATCTGCAAGACTGAATATAATTCATTCATCAGAGATTTGCTGAGTGCCTTATTGCATCAAGAGGAGCCTCTGGTGGTGCAGTGGTGCAGTGGTTAAGTGCTTGACCATCAACAGAAAGATCAGAGATTCGGTGGTTTGAACCCACTAGCCATTCCTCAGAAGACAGATGTGGCAGTTGGCTTCCCTAAAGATTTACAGCCTTGGAAACGCTCCTGGGCAGTTCTACTCTGTCCTATGAGGAGCCCTGTAGTGTAGTGGGTTATTAATTGCATTGCTAACCACATGGTCAGCAGTTCTAATTGACCAGCCACTCCTCAGGAGAAAGATAAGGTTTTCTACTCCAATAAAGATTTACACTATGGAAATCCTATACAGGGTCACTATGAGTTAGAATCGACTCCACAGCACGAAACTACCAACCACCACCACCATTCTGCCTTATGGAGTCACTATAAGTTGGAATCGATACAACAGCAATGGGCTTGGTTTGGGTTTGGTTTCATTGTACACAAGGTTATGTGTTGAGCATTAAGGGAACTACAAGTGTTTAACGATCTCTGGTGGCACCATAGTTAAACCCTGGGCTGCTAACTGAAAGATCAGCAGTTTGAACCCACTAGCTGCTCCACACGAAATATATGTGGCAGTCAGCTTCCACAAAGATTACAGTCTTGGATACCATATGGGGGAAACTTCTACTCTGCAGGGTTGTTATGAATAGAAATGGACTTGATGCCCGGGAGGAATTGGTTCATTCAATAAATATTTAGTGGACACTTTATGTACCTTGAAAAAAAAAATCCATACTCTAATGGAGTTTACTTTCTAAAACAATATACATGGAAATAAAGAAAATACATAGTATGCCAAATGATGTAAAGCACTTGTCATGGACTGGACTGTGTCTCCCCAAAATATGTGTCAATTTGGCTGGGCCATGATTTTCAGTGGTTGGGCAATTATGTAACAATGTGAGCAGCCCCATGATTCAATCTGATGTGATACAATGTAAGAGAATTAAGGGTAGGATGCAGCGTCCTTACTCAAGTTACAGCCTGGGATATGACTCAAACTACATTGTATCTTCTTCTTGTGCCCTGAAGTCAGTTCCGACTCATGGTGGCCCTATGCACAACAAAACAAAACACTGTGCAGTCCTGTACCATCCTCACTATTGTTATGCTTGAGCTCACTGTACCAATCCATCTCATTGAGGGTCTTCCTCTTTTTTGCTGACCCTCCACTCTACCAAGTATGATGTCCTTCTCCAGGGACTGGTCCCTCCTCATAACGTGCCTGAATTATGAGACACAAAGTCTCACCATCCTGGCTTCTAAGGAATATTCTGATTGTATTTCTTCCAAAACAGATTTGTTTGTTTTTCGGGTAGTCTATGGTAGTCTAAGGAGCTCTGGTAGCGTAGTGGTTACAAAATGGGCTGCGAACCTTAAGGTCAGCGGTTCGAAACTACCAGCCACTCCGCAGGAGAAAGATGAGGCTTTCTACTCCCGTAAAGATTTACACCCTCGGAAACCCTGTACAGGGTCGCTATGGGTCGGAACCGACTCGATGGCACTTAACAACAACAACAATGGTACTTGCAATATTCTTTGCCAACACCGTAATTCAAGTGCATTGGTCTTTCTTACTCAATGTCCAACTTTCACATGCATATGAGGCTGCTGAGCATACTAAGGCACACCTTAGTCCTCAAACTGATCTATTTGCCCTTTAAAACTCAAAAAAAGTCTTGTGCAGATTTGTCTAACACATGTTACTTGATTTCCTGACCGCTGCTTCCATGAGTGCTGATGGTGGATCCAAGCAAAATGAAGTATTTGACAACTTCAAACTTTGCTCCATGTTATTTATTGGTCCTGTTGTAAGGATTTTTGCTTTTACATTGAGGTGCAATCCACATCTAAAGGCTGTAGTCTGTGATCCTCATCAGTATTTTAAGTACTCTTCCTTTCCAGCAAGCAAGGTTGTATCATCTGCATGCCACAGGTTGTTAATGAGTCTTCCTCCAATCCTTACACCATATTCTTCGTCATATAATCTAACTTCCCGGATTATTTGCTCAGCATACAGATTGAATAAATGTGATGAAAAGATAAAACCCTGGTGAAAATGTTTCCTGATTTTAAACCATTCAGTATCCCTTTGTTTTGTTTCAATGGCTGCCTCGTGGTCTAGGTACATGTTCCTCATGAACATAATTAAAGTGTTCTGGAATACCCTCTCTTTGAAATGTTATCCATAGCTTGCTATGTTAATAAATGTTATCCATAGCTTGCTTAGTTAATAAAGCACAAGTAAACATCTTTCTGATATTCTCTGCTTTCAGCCAAAATCCACCTCACATCAGCAATGCTATCTATCCCTCATTACACATCCTCTTCAGAATACGACTTGAATTTCTGGCAGCTCCCATCGATGTCTTATTGCTGCCATTTTGAATTATCTCCAAACATTTTTTTTTTTTTTTAATTGCCTCTCTTTGGAATGAGCACAGATATGGAT